TCTCGATCTCCACGGTCGTCCATTCTGTGGTTTTCTCGATATTGGGGGACCGAGGGCTCTCCTCCTGGAACCAGATGTCGTTGCTTGATCTGTCCGCCTCCATTGGCGCTGACATGCCGAAGTCCTTGTCGATGTCCTGCGGTGGCTGCGCCATGTAAACCGCGGGAACAACTCCAGGAACAATCGCGACCGCCTCCACCACCGCCAGAGCCATTGGATGACAAACTCCGCGCGTACACTGCGAGCGCACATGTTTGGAACAGAACGGCAACAGGGTCAAGTACTTGGATAGTCCTCTGCACAAGCCGCCTCTTCATCTGGTAATTGCCTGCCGCGTCGCCGATGCCAAATGCCACGGCATCTTCAGATTCGAGATGAACTTCGTCCTCATCGTCGTAGAACCCTTCCTTCATCCTTGTAGTTGTACTCCCTCACCGGCCAGGTCGCTGCCTCGCCGCGCCCATTCCTGGCCACGCCGCGCAGCTCCTGCCTAGCAAACTTCGTCATCTTAGCGTTGAGCTCGTCGATTCCTCTCGTTGCCGTCGCCTTCTCGGAGCCGACGCATGTCGGCCAGCGTGTCGAGGGCGCTCTTGAGTCGGGCCCCGGAGTCCGCAAATTCGAAGACCTCGGTTAAGCAGGTCCGCCAGCACCCCGGCAAGGGGTCGCGGGCACTGCCCGCCACGTCTGTCGCCGTGGCCCCCCGCAGGTTGAGGCCGGCAGCGAGTAGAATCAGCAAGTCGGATCGCTCCCCGACTGTTCTAAACTGCCTTGCCGCCCCGCGGGCCCATCACCGTCGGGCCTGGGCCCCCAAAAGTAGATGCCTGTCGAAATGCCCCCAAAGCCTCTTCGAAGAAGGCCGTGCGCGTAGCCCACTGCGACTGGCGACCCACCGGCCGTAGCCCTCGACGTTCAGCGGGGGGGCACGGCGCAGTCCGATGCTTTGCTGCGCTCACGGGGGGCGCGTGCCGTCTGCATTGGATTGGCGCATTCTTCCATTGGATCGTCGATGCTCCCGCCCGGGCCTTGCACGTGAGCTCTGCAACAAGGCTTTTCCATCTCCGCCCTCGCGTACTTGACCTCGCCAGAGCCAATCTCCCCCTGCATGTCCCCCATGAACTTGGCGCCTTCCGAATCGCCACTCATGGCGCCCATGTTGAAGTCGTCCGCGAGCGGGCTTGTGGCCCCCGCGCGATTGCTCTGCCCGTTGCGAACGATGACGGTCGCTGGTTCGATGCTTTGGCCTTCCATTCCGAGCCTGGCGAGAAACTCATGTCGAGCCGCGCGCCGCGCCCACGCTGCGTCGTCGGCCCCGTAGATTCTTTTCGTCAGCTACTGCAGGCCCCCTGCCATCACCCCCAGGACCGCGCGCTGCCCTAGGCTTTTCCGGCCCCGGAAACAACTCGCGCCCGATCGCCTCGCCATGAACAAAAAAAACTCGCATCTGCGATGGCCGGGTCCGAGTTAAGGCCCGACGCGACACCGCGCAGCAACGGCGTCATTTGGTCTGACGCAGCGAAGAAGCTCTTCCTCAGCTCGTCGTCGAGCTCCTCCTCGCATCCTCGGCCACAGATCCTCGCCTTCGGCTCGAAGATCGCGGGGCCCTGGCCCGCCCCGACCACCTTGGAAATGCGGATCGCGTCCGTGTCGGTCTGTTCGACGGCGGCCCCAACTGCGAGCGCTGCCGCATCGCATTTGCGCAATGCGTTCCCCTCTTTCTCCGCAACCTCCTGCGTCTTCTTCGACTTCGGCTCGTCGTCGCCCAAGTACTTCGATCTCCCGCTTGTTCTCGGCAGCGGGCCGCGCGCGCGCCCGATCGGCCGCGAACGCCTCGACGAGAAGCGGCGCCTCGGAGATGCTTGATTGGCCCAGTCTGCGACTTGGCCCGATTGATGCTGATCGGCACATCATCAAGCATGAACTCCTTCAGGGCCACGGGGTGCTCCTGTCGCTCGCTTTGCACTGGCCGGCGCGCGCTGCTTGCCTCGCCTGGCCAATCTTGCGGCGATGGCAATAGCGACGCCGGCGCGGGCGCCGCCGCCGACTCCTCGGCGTTCCTGCGTTCTCTCCTGCGAAGTAGCACCCCGGCGGGTATCCGATAATTGCCCCTGCCCCCCAGCGCGTCGCCCCATCTCGCCCACTTGAGCTGCGGGCCAACGTCGGCAGCGCGTCTCTTGCCACCTTGCGCCCTCTCCTTCGCTAGCGCCAGCCCTGCCCTCGCGCGATCAGCTTGGCCCCCCAGATGCCCGCCGCGCGCGCTTGGCAGCGCGCCCCCGCTGGCTTGCAGCGCGGTTTCTTCCTCAGTATTCGCGGTGATCTCCTCGATCAAGGCGATGGACTGGGTCGATGCCGAATCATCGCTTGAAATATCTCGAACCAGGTCCCGCGCGCCCAAGATCGACGGCCTCCTCCGTTCAGCATGGCACCCAGGAGGCGCGTCTGACAACGGAGGCCGATGGGCGGCAGCTCCCCCGCATATCAACATTGCTCTGACTGCCTGCCGCCACTGCTCCAATAATCGCGCCCCATGCCTGCTGGGCTCGCCACAGTCGCACTCGAAGCCGCACTCCAACTTGATATTCATCACCTGGCCCTGGCTCGCACTCGCCCTCCAGCCTGTGCCGCGTCGGCGTGGCGCCGTGCCCTGAACCACCTCTGCCATCCGTCTTCCTGCTCGTCGAAGCCCGCCGCCTGCTCGATCCTCGTCGCGCCGCCTCGGGCCGGTCTTGCTTCCAATGTCGCGGCCCCCTGTTGCGTCTCACCTGGCGACGCATGAAATCGAACATGTCAATGTGGCCGTTGTTCTGGATGGTGGCGTTGGTCAACTGGCCCCCGTTCTGGGCGCCGCTGATCTTGCCGCTGATCGCGATGCTGATCTGGCCGTTGCTCTCGCTGCTGTGCATCGCAAACTGGATTGCGCGGTTCGCCCCTCATATCGGCGACGCCTCGCTGGCCGCGTCGTCGCGCGCCCCCGACGCGAATCCCCTGGGGGGGGGTAGAACTCGAGGCCCAAGGGGGCAATGAACTTTCTGCCCTGGCGAGTCATGGCGGGATGCGTGGCGCGGAAGAGGAGGTCGTCGTCGTCGTCGTCGCACGAAGACGACGACGACGACCTAGCGCTGCCGCAGGTTCGTGACTTCCGAAAGCTGCAGCGGCGAGAATCCCACCGCCCTGCCGCGCGTTCGCGACTTCGACAAGCTGCAACGGTCAGAACATCAGACGGAGTGGATGGGAGGCGGCTTGAGCAGAAGGGGGAGCAATGCTTGGTTGCTGCATGTTTATTCTGAACTCCGGCCGATCGTGACTAGGTGCGCCCCCACCGTCCCACCCATCTGTAAGACAAATGATGCTGAGCGAAAGGAAAACACCAACCTCGAGCGAATGAGAGCAGCAACACCAAATAATGAAAAACATGAGATCCCCCTCATACTGAACACATGCCTACGAAACTGAATTTCACCAGGAAGCCGAACCGAAGCGGCAGCGACGTGTGCCCGAACCGGACAACACACGAACGTGTGGCAAGGCCCGAGGATCCTCACCATGTTGTCCCCCCCGGGCCCCGAACTTCATGATCCCCAACCTATGAGCATCAGGGGCACAAGGCTACTCCTGTGAATCCCACCAGCCCTTTGGGCGTGAGTGGTTTAGAGAGCCCGCTCTGTCCTCAACCCCCCTTCTTCCCCTTCGGGGAGGGGTTTACCCCTCCCCCTACCCCCTCCCCCTGGGCCTGGAGAGGGCGGGCCGCGGGTCGTCAGGGGAGTCTTTTTCGACCCCTGGGAGGGCCAAAAAACGACAACCCTCACGAGGATTCTGGCCCCGACGGGGGGACCGAGTTTGGCCCCTCTGCTCTTCTTTGAAGCCAAAGTCATTGATTTTACTACGGTTTTGGCCCCATTTTGGCCTCCTGAGGGGGCCGCGCTTCTCTTCCTCCATAGCAAAATCGCTGATGTTACGAAGGTTTTGGCCTCATTTTGTCCTTTTCAGGGGGCAGCGCTCCTTTGCGCTTCAGAGGAGGTCGCAAGAGGCCCCAAGATGGCCCCAAGAGGCCCCCAGGAGGCTCCCAAGAGGCCTCCAAGAGGCCCCCAAGAGGCCCCCAAGAGGCCCCAAGAGGCCCCCAAGAGGCCCCCAAGAGGCCCCCAAGAGGCCCCCAGAGGCCCCCAGAGGCCCCCAAGAGGCCCCCAAGAGGCCCCCAAGAGGCCCCCAAGAGGCCCCAAGAGGCTCCAAGAGGTCTCCAAGAGGCCCCACTAGTAGCCCGAACGACTCCACCGGCACGAGGGCCCGAACGACTCACACCACGTGAGCCCGCACGACTCACACCACAAGGAGGGGCCCGAACGACTCACACCAGGACGAGGCGCCCGAACGACTCACACCACGAGGAGCCCGAACGACTCACACCACGACGCGGGCCCCGAACGACTCACACCACGAGGAGCCCGAACGAGTCACACCAGGAGGAGGGGGCCCGAACGACTCACACCAGGATGAGGGGCCCGAACAACTCACACCACGAGAAGCCCGAACGACTCACACCAGGACGAAGAGCCCGAACGACTCACACCACGAAGAGCCCGAACGACTCACACCAGGAAGAAGGGCCCGAACGACTCACACCAGGACGAGAAACCCCAAACGACTCAAACCACGAAGAGCGCTTTCTCTCCCTCCTCCTCCGCCTCGTCCTTCTCCCGCTCCCCTCACAAGGAGGATGTACAAGGAGGCGGGAGGAAGGAGGAACAGGGGAGATATGCGGGGCCAAGCGGACACACGCATGAAAAACACGACTGTCGGCATGCTTCGCGAGAGTTGCTGCTGTGAGATGGGCTGGTGGGGATACGCGAAGCGTAAAGAATTAGGGAGCTCCGCCGAAGAGAGCACCGGGGCCTCCCCCCCGTCCAGCCGGGGGCGAGGGGCCAGAGCTGGAAGCCGAGCGAGGAGATTTGCTCGAGTTTGCTGGTATCAACGCTGTGGGGAGGAGGAGGAGGAGGAGGAGGAGGAGGAGGAGGAGGAGGAGGAGGAGGAGGAGGAGGGAGGAGGACGACGACGACGACGATAAAACAACTGCGGTACTCACAACTGCATGTGGTTGGGTCCTCCGCCAGGCGCTAATTTTTCCTCGCCAAAGCAAGGCGATGTACGGCAACAGAGCCACGGCGGACACGGCGCCGGCGGGCTCCGACCAGCCAACGCGCGGCGGCGGGCTCCGACCAGCCAGCGCGCGGACCCGCGGACAGCTGCTTATGAGTGTAAGGCGACGTGCGAACTGTGCTCAAAATAAATGGACTAAGCATAAAGCAACCGCGAACTGTGCGGGCATGCTGCAGGCGTAATTTTCCAAGCTGCAGCTCAACGGTTGCCAAAACAACTAGAAACCTGGTCATGGAAATCCGAAGCCGGAAAAGGGGCAAGGATGCCAAAAGCCTTCCGATGCAGATCAACTGATATGGTTTCCAATGTCTGCAGTTGTGCAGGACTGAGACATTCACCTGTTGATTTTTTTTGTTTGACGTTTTTGAATGTCATCTCTGATCTCCGGAACGAAGCACAAGTCATCGGAGCTCCAAGGTCATCGCACGCAATATCTATCAACAAAGAGGGATCCAAGCTGTGCATCACCACGTCCGAGAAATGGGCCGCAAATTTACTGTACACAGACGTCGAAGAAAAATTTGCTGCCTGCTCCTGCATGATTGAATCGGTCAACCAAAGAGCGAAACCCGCTTCTGAAATGGCTGCCGCATTGTTTGCAGTAATCTGCCGGTAGACGCTTGCGATCCAATCGTAGAAAGGTCGGTAGACAACGATTACCTTAGTAGTGACGTGCCTTAAGTCAGAGGCGAGCTGCGCGAGCAGGGGTGTCTGTCCCTGGGCGAAGTTCTCACTAGACATCACCACCTTATGGGAAGTACCCCTGAGCTTGTCGATGTACTCTAGCCAATCCAAACAAGTTTGGGTTTGATTTATAACATAAGGGAAAACATACCCAGTATAGCACGCAGCTACGTTGGCGACTTGAATCTTCCCCCTGGAGCCTTTAACCATACTTCCGAATTGTCTAGGGCGCAGAAATGTCCAACCGTCGCGTGCCAGCAAGGACGTCCGGTCGCACAACTCCTTTTGAACTGTTTTCGAAGCAGTCTTTGGGGGTCCAACGTGAATTACAACAGTTGCGCCATGTTCTTTCGGCCCAGTACTTACTGCACCCATCACCAGTCCATTGTTATCCACATAGTGAAAGATGATGAACATACTCCATGCATGCAGCCGATGCGTAAGCATAAATTAAGCCACAATAGCGCAGAGGCAAATAAGTCTTGGGCTATCGCAGAAACGGTGGACCCAGATTTTGAGCCACATTGGCTTGAGCCAAAAGCTGTATGCGCTGATCTTGCCAGTGGTTGCACAAGGTGTTCCTGACCTTACTCTGTGTCCCTCAATAGTTTTGGGGCCCCGGACTACAAGTACCCCTCCCCAGGTACCCCCCCCTTGGACTACAGGTACACCCCCCCCGACTACAGGTACCCCCCCCCGGACTACAAATACCCCCCCCCGGACTACAGGTACCCCCCCCGGACTACAGGTACCCCCCCCGAAGTGACGAGGCACCTAGAAGCCAGCTGAGTCGGCGCTCAGGTTTCGCACACATTGTGCGCTTGCTTGGCTGCGACCTGAGCAGACAGCGCAATCATGCAATATCTGGAAAGTTGTCATTGTCATGATACAGAGTGTCTGTGCGTGCGCGCGTGTGCGTGCGTGTGTGCTTGCGTGTGCGTGTGTGCGGTTCCGTGCGGTTGCGTGCGCGCGTGCGCGCGTGCGTGTGAGTCTGTGCGTGCATGCGCGCGTGCGCGCGGGCGTGTCGTGTGCAACGATGCGCGTGAGGTCCCGCGCGCGTAAGTACTAAACACCCGCGTGCGTGGAACCACGCGTGCTTTGAGGCATGACCATATGCCCCCCCCCCGGACTACAAGTACCCCCATGCGCGCCCCCCCCCGGACTACAGGTACCCCCCCCCGGACTACAGGTCCCCCCCCCCCGGACTACAAGTACCCCCCCCCCCGGACTACAGGTACACCCCCCGAAGTACAAGTACCCCCCCCCGGACTATAGGTACCCCCCCCCGGACTAGAGGTACCCCCAAACTATTGAGGGACACAGAGTAGGTGTACCCATCGCTTTGCCCCGCTCAGGTGCCCCTGGGGCCCTCTGGGCCCCGTGAGGCGTCCTCTGCCTGCAGGCTGTGGGGGCCTCCGTGGAAATCCGCGAGACACCCTGTGCCAAAAACATGTTTGTGAACACCCGATTCAGCATGTGGGAAGCGGGTCCTGAAGGAAACGGGTCCTGGACCCTGGGGCCTTCCACATGGACGACTTCTTCATCTTGGCTCGTCTTCTGACAGTCCCGGGGCCAGTGGAGGGCTCCGAGTCCGAAAACGGCGGAAAATCGAAGTTTCCGTTTCCCTCAGGACCCGTGTCTAAGGGAACGAAAAATGGCATAAACATAAAACTCGGAAGTCCGCGCAAATTTCTCGGATCGGCGCTGGACCCCCGATTTGTTTTGCTTATGTCGTTGTTCGTTCCCCTACTGTACTTCGTGGCGACCCGAACCAAGAGCTGGCCCAGCCGGCATTGGCCGACGCCGCCCGGATCGCCCAAAACCGCCGCCTACGCTCGCTCGCTCGTTCGCTAAATGGGGGCATTGTTTAAAATGTTTGGTTATATGTGCGCATTCGTATGTCATCTTATATTTTTCGTCCAGAATCCGCCTGTAGGGGGACGTTCATCCACGAGCGCCCACTGCTGAACGAGGATATGTCCCGGATCAATCCAGACCTGGACCAATCGGGCTTCGCAAGATCCTGCAAAACCCTGCAGGATCCTGCAAGATCCTGCCCGCAGGCCCGGGTCAATGCACAACTGCCTCTGCAGGATCCTGCGAAATCCGGCGCCGTGGCTGACCCCCGTTCGCACTGACCCCCGCCTCTTGAGCCCCCACGGCTGAAGCGAGACAGCGGCAGTCCGCCTTCGGGGAAGGGGGGGGCCGTCATCGTCGTCGTCGTCGTCGTCGTCGTTGTCGTCATTGTCGTCGTCGTCGTCGTCGTCGGTCGTCGTCGTCGGTCGTCGTCGGCCGTCGACGTCGTCGTCGCCGTCGGAAGAAGAAGAGGAGGCAGGAGGAGCAGGAGGGGATATGGAGCAGGGACGGGAGGGGGAGGGGGAGGGGGGCGGGGAGGGGGAGGGGGAGGGAGGAGGAGGAGGAGAGGAGAGGAGGAGGAGGAGGGGGGGAGGAGGAGGAGGAAGGGGAGGAGACGAGGAGGAGGAGGAGGAGGAGGAGGGAGGAGGCGGAGGAGGGGGAAGAGGTGAGGATGAGGATGAGGAAGAGAGGAGGAGGAGGGGAGGAGGAGGAGGAGGAGGAGGAGGAGGAGGAGGAGAGGGAGAGGGAGGAGGAGGAGGAGGAGGGAGGAGGAGGAGGAGGAGGAGGAGGAGAGGGCGGAGGAGAGGAGGAGAGAGGAGAAGAGGATGAGGGCGAGGAAGAGGAGGAGGAGGAGGAGGAGGAGGAGGAGGAGGAGGAGGAGGAGGAGGAGGAGGAGGAGGAGAGGGAGAGGGAGGACAGGGAGAGGAGGAGGAGGAGGAGGAGGAGGAGGAGGAGGAGGGAGGAGGAGGAGGAGGAGGAGGAGGAGGAGGAGGAGGAGGAGGAGGAGTTTTCCCCCCCGCTATCGCGCACACCCACGTCTTCCACAACAGTCAATAGTCCATCTCAGCGAGCACTGGGAACCGTGCAATCGGGCATGCATAGGACAGGGGAGGAGCAGCAGCAGGGGCAGGGCAAAGAGAAGCGGCGGCGGGCACTCTGCTCCGGGCGCGCAGGATCCCTGGCGGGCGCGCGCCCCCCCAAGGCACACCGTCCAAAAGGGGGTCACACACTCGAGCATCCTTCCCATGCCACATTCACTCCTCGGCTGACCGAGGGCCCAACCCGCAGCGCAGCAGGCAGAAGCAGACGAAAGGGGCACGCCCCAAAACGAGAAACCAACGCACAAAACGAGGGAACACAAGACAACTGGCCTCCAAAGTGCCACGAACTTCGTCGGGAACCTGAGGGCGAGAGGGGAACGCCCCCTCGCGCGGAGCGGCTGCGGGGGCGCCTCGAACTTCGTCGGGGACCTGAGGGCGACGACAGGGCGCGGCGGAGGGGGGGGGCCTCATCCGCGCCAGACGCAACGGGCGTCTGGATGCGCCGCGGCTTGGCGTCGCGGGAAGGCCTGCCTACCCTACAGGAGCGACGATCAATCGACGCCCGATCGAACCAGACCGTTCCGCCCGTCCGAGAACCTGTGGAAGCTCAAGGACAGCAAGAGAGGCGCGGCAAGCAAAAGAGGCGGGGCGGCCGCGGGGCGGGCGGGAGGAGAGAGGCTGGGGGGCGGCGGCGCGGCAAGAGAGGCACTCTCTCACGCGGGCTGGCCAACCCATCTGTCAGCACGCCTCTCCCAAAAGAACGCACGAAGCTGCGCCTCGCCACCTTCACCTGCAAGCGGAGAGGGTCACAATGAGCACTGAGCAGCGCCCGCAACCCAGGCGACAACGCGGGGCCCTGAATTAACCAAGAAACGCAACAGAGCGGAAGGAAAGCACAACATAAAGAAAAACCTCAGAAAACCAGCCAGCCAACCCGAGAGACCCACCAGGGTCACGTCAAACTCTGACAGCATCGCCACAAAGAAAGGGGGGACTTAAATGGGGGACACGGCAACTCAGGAGAAGAGGGGCACGGCAGGAGGAGCAGGGGGAGCAGGGGGAGGGGCGGCAGCAGCAGCATTCAAACGCAGCACACGCAACGCCCCATTAAGCTTGGGGTGCCGACGAGACAACTGCCGAAGCCTGGCTTTTATTAGAAATTCCCCCGGCTGGACCGAGCCAGTCCTGCGAGCACTATGCGCGGCCAGAAAGCAATCAGTAAGGGCGCGCCCCACTAGGTCACGCGACCGCCCCCACTGTGGCCCCAAACAACAAAGAGTGAGGAGCCAATCCTCACCCGTTAGAGCCGCGGTCCAAGACCTCAGAAGTCCACCACGGGGGAATATGTCAATCAACCCTGCCTTCAACTTGGGGCACACGCGATAATGCCTCATATCGTCGTCGGCCGCTTCCAGAGGACACCCAAACGCACAGCCCACCACCATGGTATGCAGACGACTGGAGGTACAAACCCCACGGCAGAGCACTCCAAGGCCCCCGTGACGAGGTGCATCGCGCTGTCCTTCTCAACTTTACGCATCCTCTGGGCAAGCACCTGAAAGTCAGCTATCGTAAAACGGTCGGGGCCCACCCACTTGGACACCCTCTGAACCATGGTGCGGAGGGGAACAGTGGGGTCACGGAGCCCTCTGAGCTTGCGCATCGCTTTCTTCTGAAGGGATTTCTTGGGGATGGGTTCCAGGGCCGGGACTGTGAAGTTGCCTACTTCAGTCACCGTAGTCCTGATCCAGGAGGGCTTCCACCAGGGCCAGTACAGGCGAGCGGGAATGAAGTTATCGTCATCCAGGGAAACCGTCAAAGACTCCATCTCATACTGGACAGCATCAATACTGGAGCAAGACATTAACACCCGAAACTTGATAGCCTTCGAAAAACAATCGATATCCACGCATTCTAAAGAGGCCCCCAACGCCCGCATGCCCGCCAGCATCTCCCTCGAGAAGGCATGGCGGGGACCAGCAGTAACCACCTGTAAGGCCTCATTATACGCTTTCCGAAGAGCCGTGGTCACTGGACAGAGTTGTAACTGGTACGCCAAAATCGACATGCAGTGCGAGTGGAAAAGGCGAATGGTCTGTGGAAGCCCCAGCCCAAGCCCACGAAGCCTCCGAACCGTCATCCAGAACTTGGGGATGGTGTTGCTCCATACTTTGTCCAAAGCCCCAGGCCCGAGCCATAATTCCAAGTATAGAACAGCGCGAACAAACCCAATGCGGTGGTACTCACCCCCATTGGCTCGAAGGTGGGCAACTAATCTACCAGGACCAAGCGAGCCAATCACCAATACCCTGCATCTGGGAATGTTCAGCCCAAGTCCCACAGCATGTTCCAACTTACGAAGGAGCGAGAGCGTCGGCTGGAGGTCAGTCAGGATGTTGGGAAGGCAGAAGGAGAGATCATCAGCGTAGGCTCTAATCCGAGGGACATGGTCAGTGAGCTTGGCCCTCATCCAACGCAATACAGGGTCTAGCGCATAAGCGAAGAGAAGCATCGAAGCATGATCACCGTGCCGCACCCCGCGCTCCACCGAAAATGCAATACCAGTAGTCCCAGGGAAGTTGATTACAGCCACACTGTCACGGTACAACTCGCGATAAGAACCAACAACTTCACCAGGAACACCCATAGCCTCCAAGACCGCCAAGATCCAGGAGACGATCAGAGATGGGAACGCAGCCCTAAAGTCCGTGAAAAGAATGCCCGGGCGATCCCCACCAGTAAGCATCTGACGAAGACCCCACCATTCAATCTCAACCACGTTGTCAAGGAGCCCACGTCGCGGGACCCCCCCACGCTGGATCGGGTCGATCACTGACGGAGCAGCCCGCTGGAGGCCAATGGAGAAAGCGTCACTCAGGAGCTTCGCATCGGCATTCGCTAGCGTGAGTGGGCGAGTCTTATCAGGCGATGGAACAAGGACAGCGGGGTTCTCGTCGTCTTTGAATTATGTTCCAAAAGGCGCCTTGACAGAGGAGTTTACATGAAAAACGCAAAGTAGGAAACAATATGATAACATACAAGTTTCCGAATACAGCGCCGAAGCGCGAATAGGATAAACTACAACGTATGACGTGAAGAAAATTAGAAGATGAGAGCCCGAACGAAGAGAGGAAACTAACGATGAAAAAGGGCGCAAAAGGAAGAAAAATAGGACGATGAGGAAAACAAAACAAACAACAACGATCATTCAGGAGATGGAGGACGAAGGTGGGGACGAAGAAGAAGACAAAGAAGAGGATAAGGAGGAGGAGGAGAAGGATGTGGAAGACGAACCCTAAGGAGGAAGGAGGATAAGGAGAAGGGACAAGAGCTGAATGACGAGGAGGCGCGAAAAGAGGAAGAGCATATGGATTTGGATGGGAAGCAGGAGCGTAAAAAAGAGGGGAAGGCGGAGGTCGAGCAGCAAACAGAGCAGCAGGAGGAGGAAGAGAGGGAGGATGGGGAGGAGGTGTAGTAGACAAAGGGCGGAGGAACAGGACAGGAGGAGGAGGGGCAGGAGGAGGAAGGACAGCAGGAGCAGGAGGAGCAGGAAGAGGAGGACGAGAAGGAGGACGAGGCGGCGAGGCGGAAGACGACGAGGAGGACAAGGAGGAGGGCGAGGCGGAAAACGGGGAAAAAGAAGGAGGAGGAGGAGGAGGAGGAGAAAGATGAAGACGCCCATCCAGCACGATCGCGCGAATGCCGCGAACGCCGACTCCAGCAGTCGCACGTGACCGCCGACGCCGTGGCAAAGGGTAATGGCAGGGCGCCGGTCCCTGGGCCGCCGCGAAGCACGCGTCGCCGCAGTGGCGGTCGCCGTCGTCGTCGCCGTCGTCGCCATCGTCTCACCGTCGACGCCGCTGAGGGGGGTGGCGTTGCACCAGAACCACCAACCTCCTGGATTATCCAGAGATCCGTTCTGGCCACAATTTCGAGACGAATCCCGCCGAAGTAACGAGGGGCCTCTAGGAGCCCAGAAAGCCAAAACGATACCAGTGGGGTTGTGGTATTGGTGCAACTTCCTTGTGTGAAATCAACGCCGTCGTCGTTGAGGCCATGGCGGTGGGGCCTCGGCACCGCCTCCCTGGGGATATATGTCTCGTCGTCCTCTAACGTATTCTGATGAGCCCTGGGCCCAGAAACAGCCACCGGAGTCCGGAACAACGCAACAACTCTGACGAGATCATCCTCTTTTCCTTTCCCTCCTCTTCCTGTTTCTGCTTCTTGTTCCTCCTTCGACTCCTCCTCATCCTCCTTTTGCTCGCGCTGCTGCTCATGTTGTTGCTCCTCCTCTTCCCCCTCCTCCTCGGACTCCTCCTCCTCCTCCTCCTCCTCCTCCTCCTCCTCCTCCTCCTCTCCCTCTTTATCCTCATCTCCAACCCCTTCCACTCTGGTCGGAATGATGGCGGAATCAGCCCTTGGACCCCCCGAGCTGATCCTGAAGATCCTGGGCCGAATGTGATTTCTATTGATGGGGCGCTATATCTGCGATTGCGCTCACTCGTGCCCCCCCGCCACCGCCACGCGCATCGCGTCTGACTCCGATGCGGGGCGGTGGCGGTGGCGGTGGTGGTGGTGGCGGTGGGGGGGGGGGGGGGGGGGGCGGAAAAAACGAGGACAAGACTGCGGATAACGAATCCAACAAGGGCGAAGGTGACGAGAGCGGCGACTACGACGGCGGCGGCGAGGCTCGAACTTCGAACCTCGTCCCATCTTTCAGCCACGGGGGGGAGTGGGGGACATTCGCATTGCGGAATGGTCGGGGGCGCAGCAAAGCGGCGGGTGCCGCGGCGAGAGCGACCACTCGAAACGGCCCACAACGCCAAGGCGTCGTGCGTTGTTGATATCACCACGCAGCAGGCGCGACTGCCAACTTCCCGACGGATTCGGGGGAGAGAGAAAACTAGCATTTAAATCAAATAATGGTGAGTGATGGGCGCCGCCCGCCGCGACATCGATGGGAAGGCACCGCCAGCGCAAGGCGAGCCATTTTTCCACTCACGTCTGCTGTTCTCACGCAGCGCACGGCTGCTGCTGCCTCTCCCGGGCACCGCGCTGGGTCGGCCGCAGTCCCGTCTCTTCTCTCCCTCGCCCTACGACCCTATGGTGCCCTACGCTACACTCCTCCCCCTCAGCCTCCTCTTCCGCCTGCTCCTTCTCATCCTCCTCCACCTCCCCCTCATAGCCCCAATTGTCAATTGGCTCGGGATCGCCGTGTCGCGGCCTATCCTGATCCCGCAACGTGCGCGCTCCTGGGACTGGGAACTCAGGAAGAGTAAGAGCGTCACTCCGAATCAGAAGGAACCGCGGTAAAGACACAAGGGGCCTTGGAAGCACGCGCGTCGCATACGCAATAACCGAAGGACGCGAGGACAGGATGCGCGGGTGCTGTCGGAGCGCTGTGCGTCCGTGTCCTTCCACGCGGGTTGACTGCGACGCCGCGGCTCGCGGCCCACGCTGAGGCTCAGGCTGCTCAGGGCATGGCCGCCGGCCGTTCTGCTCTGCGGCGCGCCGCCTCCACGCAACTCGCAAACCGTCCATCACTCTACCGGGGGCGCCATGCCACCTCCTGGCGGCGGACCCTCGGCGGGGCCCTCGGGCGGGGCTTCCACTGGGGCGGGCGGGTCCCCCATGGCCTGATACGGGCCGAGGTCCACGCCTGCCTTCTCGATCTCCGTGGCCAGGGCCGCGCATGCGAAACCCAGCGGCGAACGGGTCGTCTCCTCGGCGAACTCAGCAAGGTCCGCCACCGCGCCCGCGACGCGGCACGCGGCACGCGACGACGCCATGAGTTTCAAGCTGGCTGCAAGTTCTTTGGTGAAGGACTGGTCCGAAGTTGGCGGGGCGCGAGGCGCGTTGCCGCGGCCGCCTCGAAGCCTCAAAGCGGGCCCCAGACATCCTTAACAACGTTTCCGCGAGACGTCCCAGAGATGAGCCGCGGCGGAACTTCCGCGAACGATCCAGCACCAGCCCAATCGAGAAGCGGGAGGAAAGCACGGGCGAACGCAAGCGAGGAGGGGAACGAGAATAACAACGCAACCACGGCGATGGCAACAACGGCGCAACGGCCACCAACAAACGACGATTTTTAGTCTGATTGGTTTGCGCCTCTCAGTTCGCCTGCGGCGACCATTAATCATTCAACGGGCGAGGCGGCATGGCGCGAAACGCCATTGCACCCTTGTGTGTGTATATATTCACATAAACGTTGTCGTGATGAGGCCTCTCCAGCCCGCGCAAGGCCAAGGCGGGCCTCGCTACCGCCCGAAAGCGCTCACGCTCAAAGGGCCACTGCAGCACAAATGAACACACGTTGTGAATGAACAGGTATCAGTAGAATCCGAGGCCGCATAATGACGCCGATGGCCCATTCCAGAGCGTCTGCCGAAATATGGTCGGAAGCGCCCTGGAGAGCTCACGCGAGAGCGCGAATGCAAAGGGGCCCCAACGCTGAAGCCTCCAAAAGGGACCCAGGACAACCCGCAAAGAACTCCTAGGGCCTGGGGGGCCTTCATAACAAACGCCTTGCCGGACATCCTCACAACGTGGCGGCAGGGGCCGAAGGCCACTAGATACTTAGCGAGCCTTGTTTTCTTGCTCTTGCTTGTAGTCTTCTGCAGCGTTTTGCACGTGACATACTCAAGCTGGGTGCCCCTGGCGCGCATCAGGGACGACCTGCACTCCTCGATGTGCTCATCAAGAGCGACGCAATCGATCTCCAACCGCGTGGAATGGACCAAATTCTTGTACCCCTCGGCTCCGTCCATGGCCTCGCGGAAAGACATGATCCAGCCGTGCATTCTTGCACGAGAGGCGAACGAAAGGGAGCGGAAGGGTGGAGCGCGAGGAGGAGGAGGAGGAGGAGGAGGAGGGGGAGGAGGAGGAGGAATAGCCTCCAATACAATTGCACCAATGGGTGTTAACAAATCGGAGGTGAAGGAGAAGGAGGCGGCGGAGGAGGAGGGGCGGGGGGGGGAGGAGCACGAGGAGAACGAGAGGGAAGAGGAAGGAAGGTAGAAGGAAACGTTGGGGGCGAAACTCGGAAAGTTTCGAAAGGAGGGGGTGGGGAAAGAGGGGGGCACTGGATTGCAGTGCGGGGGCAAGGGAGCGGCGGCGGCAGGTGGAGCGGGCGGGTGTAACTAAGGCTGGAGGGAAGGTCAGCAGAGGAGCCCCCGTTCTGGCACCACCCTTCCCGGGGCACGCGGGGGCCGATTCTCAGACGCCCTTCGCCAATTCGACCGACAACGCAATCGGCGGCCTGAGACCGCCCCGTGCTGGGCCCACGTCGACGCCGACTGGAACACGCAATCACTTCACTGGCATGTTTCCGTCGGGTGCTGGCCGAGGCCTGCCAGGCCCTAGAACGCGATTCAGGTAACTGGGGCCCAGTTGGGCCGAATCCCACCAGCCCTCCGGGCGTAGGTGGTTTAGAGAGCTTCCTCTTCCATCTTCCCTCTTCCCCTTCGGGGAGGGGTTTACCCTTGCCCCTACCCCCTCCCCTGGACCTGGACGGGGGGGGCCGCGAGGGGTTAGAGCGTCCAAGATGGCCCAAGACGGCTCCAAGTGGGCTTCGGAGAGCCCAAGATGAGCTCCAAGATGGCTCAAGACAGCCCAAGATGCCTCAAGATGGCTCCCAAGATGTTCCAAGAGGCCCCAAGACTGCCCCAAGACGGCTCCGAGTGGCCTTGGAGCCTCCCAAGGAGGCCCCCCAAGAGGCCAAAATGGTTCGAAAACCGATGAAAATCAATGTTTGTTGCTTTCTCGCCTTCTCGCTTCCGATGGCCATTCGAGACCTCAAGATGGCTCCGAGATGGCCCAAGAGGGCCCCAAGAGAGGCCCAAGATGGCCCCAAGACGGCCCCAAGAGCGCCCACGAGCGTCCCAAGAGCGCCTCAAGATGGGCCCAAGAAGCGATGTTTGAGGCTCCCGAGGGGCGACGCTAATTGCGACCTTCCCCTTCTTTGATCGATCGTCTCGAAGGTGGCTCCAAGAGGCGCCCAGGACCCAGGAGGCCCCAAGAGGCGCCAAGATGGCCCCAAGATGGCCCCAAGATGGCCCCAAGAGGCTCCCAAGAGACCCCCCAGGGGCCACGAAAAACATCCCACAAAACACAACACGAAAACACCCCACGAAGCAGCACACGAAACACATCACACGAAACACACCCCACGAAACACGGAACAAAACACACAACACGAAACGCACCCCACGAAACACGACGCGAAAAAGACCCCACGAACCACACCGCAAAACACCCCACGAAGAACACTCCACGAAACACCACACGAAAAGACCCCACGAACCACAGCACGAAACACAACACACGAAAAAAAAACCCACGAAACACCGAACACAACACACAACACGAAACACACCCCACGAAACACGACATGAGAAACACCCCACGAAACACCCCACGAAAAACACCCCACGAAACACCACACGAAAACACCCCACGAAACACCACACGCAAAACATCACACGAAACACACCCCACGAAACAACGAACCAAACACACAGCACGAAACACACCCCACGAAGCACTACACCTCAAGATCGCCCAAGAGGCCTCCAAGATGGCCCCATGACGGCCCACGAGGCACCCAAGACGGCCCCCGGATCGCCCAAGAGACCCCCACGACGCCCAAGATCGAACAAAACCCGCACCACGAAACGCACCCCACGAAACACGACACGAAAAACACCCCACGAACCGCCCCACAAAACACCCCACGAAGAACACCTCACGAAACACCACACGAAAAGACCCCACGAACCACAACACGAAACACAACACACGAAAAAAAACCCACGAAACACCGAACACAACACACAACACGAAACACACCCCACGAAACACGACATGATAATCACCCTACGAAACACCCCACGAAACACCCCACGAAAAACACCCCACGAAACACCACACGAAAACACCCCAAGAAACACGACACGAAAACACCCCACAAAACACGCAACAAACCACCCCACGAAAAACACCCCATGAAACACCACACGAAAACACCCAACGAAACACCACACGAAAAACGCCCCACGACACACGCCACGAAACACCCCACGAAGCACACCACACGAAGCACAACACGAAAAGACCCCACGAAACACGCCACGAAACACCCCACGAAACATCCAACGAAAAACACCCCACGAAACACCACACGAATACAACTCCCGACACACCACGCGAAGAACACCCCACGAAACACCCCACGAAAAACACCCTACAAAACACAACACGAAAACACCCCACGAAACAACACACGAAACACATCACACGAAACACACCCCAGGAAACACGGAGCAAAACGCACAACACGAAACGCACCCTACGAAACACGACGCGAAAAAAGACCCACGAACCACCCCACAAAACACCCCACGAAGAACACCCCACGAAACAACACACGAAAAGACCCCACGAACCACAACACGAAACACGACACACGAAAAAACACCCCACGAAACACCAAACACAACACACAACACGAAACACACCCCACGAAAAACGACACGAGAAACACCCCACGAAAGAGCCCACGAAACACCCCACGAACAACACCCCACGAAACACCACACGAAAACACCACACGGAACATTACACGAAAAACAGCACACGAAACACACCTCACAAAACAACGAACCAAACACACAACACGACCCACGAAACACACCACACGAAACACAACACGAAAAGACTCCACGAAACACGCCACGAAACACCCCACGAAACATCCAACGAAAAACACCCCACGAAACACCACACGAATACACCCCCCGACACACCACGCGAAGAACACCCCACGAAACACCCCACGAAAAACACCCCACAAAACACAACATGAAAAACACCCCACGAAACAGCTGAGAGGCATCCAAGAGGCCTCTGGCCATTCTGCTCGCCCTTTCCTTCATATTCCTCCGTCTCACTCTCCTCATCCTCCTCCTCATCATCCGCCTATTCCTTCTTCTCCTTCCTCCCTCCTCCCCCTTCCCCTCCTCCTCCTCCACTTCCTCCTCCTTCTCATCCTCCTCCGATTCGTCCTGGTCCATCCTCCCCCTCTTGGAGTTTGACGGGCCCCCAGCCCTTTGAGACTCTGTATGCTCCCTCAGTTCCCTGATCACTTCAATTCCCCTGGGCGTCATTTCTGGATGGGCTGGTGGGGATACGCGAAGCGTCTAGAATTGAATCGAAACGATGCCTTCTTGCAGCGCCCATTGGGTCTGGGGACGCCACTCCGACTGGGCAACGTTTCGCAGATGCTCCTGGGAAAACCCGCGAAGCCCCCAGAGACTTGGCACAGGGGCCGACAGAACCGACAAACCTTGCATTTGTTTCGATGGGAAGTCATCAGGCTTGTCATCAGGGTGACTTACAGCACGTTCTGAAATCAAGGGGGCAACCGAAGGGAGGCGGGGCCGGGGCCCAAATGCGGAGGCGGAAAAACCCGATGGGGCCCCTGGGCGTCCCAGGAAGCTGCGAAGGTGGTTTGGCCCAGGGTGGACAAAAAAAACAACAACATCGCACTGTGGGGGTCCTACGGGGCTTCTTCGATCATATGCCCAAGCCCACACACCAGCATCGCGAACCCGTGGAGAGCTCCGAGGGGTTCACCCTCCCGGGAATCTCGGAGAACGAGCTAAAGCGACCCCTGAACGGCCCCCTGGAGCCCGCCTGGCGAACGCCCAGGACCCCGGGACAGCGCCGCCGCCTTCCTTTACGAAGCCAATGGCCAATGGCCACCTGGGCTCGGGGGCCCCCAACGCCCCAACGCAGACAGACCTCCTGGGCCGTCTTGCTGACGCGGATGATCTGATCCACTTCCAGGAGCTCCAAGGTGCCCCCGAAGCAGGCCAGGATGTCCGCGTAGTCGGCCGCACTGTCACTCCAGCTGCCGCCCGCGGGAGCGCCGCCGGCGACCTGGCCCAGGGCGTGGGAGGCGCGCTGGAGCGTGTCCAGGACGTCCTGCTGGAGGAGGTTGGCGCCGGCGGCGAGAGCAGCTCTCTCATCGGCGGCCTCGCTGCTCGCCCCCAAAGCGGCGGCCGCCTCGAGCGGCCACGCGGCGTCACCCGCGCCCTCGCCGCTCTTGAAACCTATGGGGCACCAAAAGCCGACATCAATATAACAACTTGGTGGAAGTCCGCGTTGATTTCTTGGATCGGCGCTGGGCCGCCGAGGCCCAAGGCTCTGGGACGCTTCCTGGCGCGCGGACCGCGCCAGGGAGAAGGGGTCCAAACCGGATCTGCATGATCCATCGGGACTTCCAAGATGTTTTGTTGCCGCCGTTTGGTTCCCCAACCGTCGGCGAGCTTGAAAACCGCCGCTGTAGTGGACAGCAGCTGCTTGGCCGTGCTCGGCGTGTTCGTCGCCTGCGATCCTGCGAGCTGCCCCGTCGCCCAGTCGACGTGGGCATCGACCGCTGTGCGGAATGCCCGGGCAAGCTTCTGCCGCGTCATGGCCGCCGCGACGAGCTCCCCCGGGAAAGCGCACTTCCCCTGCACCGCGCTGGAAAGCACCCAGGCCCAGAACTCGTTCAGCTGGGACCGCACGTCCTGCATCACCTCGGTAACGGTCGCGATGGCCAGGGACGCCTCGAGGATATCTGGGAGGCCGGCCCAGACGTGGGCTGGCGTGTCCTGCGTCGCAGCTGCGCGCCCCGCGGACACGACGCTCGCCAAACGCCCAACCGATCGATCCTGCATGAACTCCGTCGTCGCTGCCTCGAAGCGCTCCACGGCGTTCTTCGACATGTTCGTGAGGTACCAAGAATTAATGTCCTGCGCGACCCGCATGGCGTATTCCGACGTCGTGGTGAAGTGCAGCAGTACGTCCATGAAAGCCTTGGCCGTGGTTATCGTAATCTCCTCAGCCGGCTGGGCCGCCGCGGCCGACTTGAAATGCTCCGCCGAGCGGACGACGGCGAACTCCAAATCTTTCAGCGACCCTGGACGGAGCTTCGACCAACCGGCCAAGTCCTGCGCCAAAGCATCTAGCACTGAAGCTGGAACCGCATTGGCACCCCCTTCGCTTCCCACCATGCTGGCCAACTGCTCCGTGCTGCGGAGGATGCTCGGGTTGAACTTCGCAGCGGGGCCTGCGAATCCAACTTGCCCTCTGGGCGTAGTCGGCGCACTGCCCTGGCCCCATCGCTCAATGCAAATCAAGGTCAAGCACCCCTGAAAAGGCCCTGGTCAGGCTCCAGCAAGAAGGACCCCCAGAACGCTCCAGGGGAGGGCATTTTTTCGACACCCCTCACGAGGATCGTGCCCTCCGAAGGGGGCGCGCAATCGACTGCCCCCTCCCCCGCCCCAAAAGGCCCCCAATAACCCCCCAAAAGGCCCCCGAGAGACCCCAGGGGCCCCCAAGACACCGCCAAGGAAACCAAGAGGCCCCAAGAGGCCCCCAAGAGGCCAAGAGGCCCCACCACAGAGCGCTCCAGGGCCCGCAGAATGAGCGAAGCGATTCAATAATTCAAGAGCAAGGCATCTTAGAAAGGACGCCAAAATAGTTCCAAGCGCTGCGGCAAGTTCTTCTGCCTCGCTCCCCATTCCAAAAAAAATGGCCGACGCCACCAGTTGTCTAGCGACTTGTCTGCAGAACCTTCGTTGTTTACCTCTGGGGACGGGCGCGCCCTGGCCCGCCCCCCCCCCCCCCCCCTCTTCCCCCAGGACCTGGAATAGGGGTGCGCAGGAAGTGGTTTCGAGTTCAAGATGGCTCCAAGCGGGCCTCCAAGATCTCAAGATGGCCTGCAAGAAAGCCCAAGATACTCCAAGATCGTTCGGGCTGGCCCCCAAACATACCCTTATGGGCAATACCATGGATCCAATACACCCAAACCCTCTAACGCTGACAGACGCCTCTCATGGCCTCTCATTCAACGGATGCCCCTCATTCCAAGGAGGCGCCCAAGACGCGCAAACCCTTTCAACGCTTAAAGACGCTCAATGACGTAGAGGCTGACGCTACCGTCGGCGCAGGATTCGGGAACAGCCAGGGCCCAAATGCGAGGCCGACGCTGCAGGGTGAAAATTAATTCAGCGACCAGAACATCCGACTGTGAACACAACACGGCTGATAAACGTGATAATGTCAATGTGCTCCGATCCTGCGGGTAAAAAAAAACAACTGCACGCGAGAGAACCGCCATCCCCCGCACATCACTAACAGACCGTGGTGTTTCAACCGCCTCGAAAAAGAATCAACCACTTGACGAAGACTTGCTTCCGCAAGCGGCAAAAGCTTGACGCGGAGGATGACAAGGATGACGACGCGGAGGAGGAGGAAGAGGAGGGTGGGAAGGCGAAGGCGGGGAGATGATGAACGAGAGAATAAGGTGGATAACGAAGAGGAGGAGGGGCGAGGAGGAGGCGGAGGATCGAGGAGAATTATGAGGAAGAGGGGTGGCGAGGACAAGGCGACGCGGAGCAGGAAGAGGAGGAGGGGGGGCGAAGGGGGAACGAGAATGAACGGGAGGAGGGGGAGGAGGAAGAGGAAGAGAAGGAGGGGGCGAGGAGGAGGAGTGGGGAGGGTTATGACAGGGGGTGGCGAGGACAAGGCGGAGGAGGATCGATCATCCAAGTTAGATCGAAGATCGAGGACGGCGGGGGATCGAGAATCGAGGCTCGAGGATCCGTGAAGGATCCATGGTCTATCGAGGTTCGACGAAGGTCGAATTTCGATCGAGGATCAAGGTCCGATCGAAGACCGAGGATCGGGGGTGGATCAAGGATGGGAGCTCGGTCGAGGACCGAGGACCGAGGATGGAGGTCCGACCGAGGATCGAGGATCGATCGAGAATTGGAAATTGATCGACGTTGGAGGCTCGGAGGGAGGCGGACGAAGGGGGGGAGTGACGAGGAGGCAGGGCGAGGAGGACGGGCGAGGACCAGGAAGATGAGGACGATGAGGGAGGAGGGACGCACAAGGAGGATTACGACGATGATCGCGAGGAGGGGGGATCAGGAGGGGGAAGGACGGAAGATGGCGGGCGCCTTGAAGGTCCCAGCAGCCCCGATCAGAGCGAGCACAGCCGCTGTGCTCGCTCTGATCGGGGCTCCTGACAGGCCGTCGTCGCCACGGCTGGATTCGCCGAGGGCCTGGCCAGGGCGCGATGCAATCCTGGGGGCTGCAGTCCTGGGCGCGCGGGGGGGGGCGAATAGTCCAACGGGTGCTCGCCTTCTGTCCTCCTCCTCCTCCTCTTCCTCCTCCTCCTCCTTTCCTCCTCCTCAGCCTCCTCCTCCTGTCTCCTCGTCCTCCTCCTCCTCCTTCTGCTCCTCCGCGTCGACGACGACGAGGGCGCCGCTGGCCATTCTGAGAGGGAGAGAGGAGAAGACGACGACGAAGACGACGCACCAGAATGACGAACTCGATTCTTCGCCGTTCTGGCGGTACTCTTGGGGCACCAGGACAGCGACATAGATTCTAGTCTGCCCTTTTGCGGGCGCCATGGGGGCACCAGAATGAAGAAGTAGAGAACTAGATTCCATTTCGCACTGGAAGCAGCCCAGACGACCCCCCTCTGGACCCCCAAGAGACACTAAACACTCCAAGAGGCATCCAAGAAGCGGTAAGATTCCGAGAGGCCCCCAAGAGGACTACGCAAAGCGTGCAACATTGAAGGAACTCGTCCTTGCGTGCGTTCCACACGTGGTCCCCGCCGGAGGGCTTGAGTTTCGCCAGGATGAGCCTCCCTGTGCTGAGATCCTTACCAAGGGTGCTCTTCGCGCCTGACGTGGGCATGACATATTCGACGTCGGCCGAAGAAATGGCGCACTTCGCGGGCACGGATGAGCATAACCCCAGCAGGCCGCGATAGACCATCATAACCGCACGGACTTTGGGCCCAATCCACGAGCCGTCCATCGCCCCCGTCTGCCCCTCCAAAAACGCCAACGTGATCCGGACGAGCCTCTGCGGACCAGCCCCATCGGCAGACGCCTCATCCACGGCGGCCATGAACGTGTCCAAGAAGACGCCGTCCAGCCATGCCTTCACGAACTCTGCTTTGTCGCTGTCCTCGCTGGGCATGCAGGAGCGAAACGTGGCCACGTTCGGCGCCCACTCGTCACTGGCGCTGTCCCGGAGGCAGACGCAGTCCACCCACTCCGTCATTTTGCCTGCGCACAGGTAATGCTGCGCGACACGTGCGGAGATCCATGGGCGGTGGGACTGGGGAATATTGACGCCGTGAAGCTCAAGAGTCGAGATGTTCTCCATCATCTCCTTGAAATCTAAGGCGGGCTTCCTCAGACACTCAAGCGTCAGCGACATGCAAGCTTTGCCGATCTGGGCGTGCAAGACCTCCGCAGCCGCCTCCTTCGCAGGCAAGGGTTTGGCCGTGCTGGTGCCGCGCATCCCTGCCGCACGGATCGACCTCTTGAGTTTGACGCCATTCAGCATCTTCTCGTACTCGGCGAGGCGTTTCGAGTCCATGCCGCCCTCGCCGTCGGACTGCGAGCCCGGGGACTCGTCGCCGTCATCGAGGAGGACAACGCCGGATGCAGCTGCAGCCTTGCCCTTGGTTTTGCTGACGCCTCGGCCGCGGCCCCCGCGCCCTCCTGAGCGCCCCCCCGATGCTGATGGCGCCCCACCTCTGGCAGCCCTCGGGCGCACCTCCTCTGCCTCGTCCTCGCTGCTGCTGCCGACGCGCCCGCCCACGCGGCGACGCGCGCCAGCCTGAGGACCATTGGCGCCTGCGGTCTGCTGGTCGGCTGACTGAAGGCGCAAGGCTCTCTCATTGAAGTGGGCATGCTTGTCATCCTCTGCCTGCTTCACGGCGACTTCGACCTGCTGCACGGTGGTGACGTTTTTGATGTCGCCAGCTTGAAGTGGGAACTTGCGTCTCTTGCATTTGTGCTCGAAAGTGTCCTGCCCCTGGAGACTCCGGACGATGTCGTCAGGGGTCAGCGCGTGCTTTGCCCAAGCCCAAGTATCCTGGGCCGTGACCTTCACAACGAAATGAGGCAAGTCGTGAGGCACCAAGTGCCGGTGAAGCAACACGCCCGTGTGCTTGCCTTTGGCCAGAGGGATGGGCAAGTCCGTCACCTTGCACCCCTTGATCTTCGTGGGGTCCATCCACTTCGTCTCGAAGATATCCTTTGTGACAAATGCCAACTTGGCGTAGACCTCGATGCCCTGCGAAAGCGTGTCTGTAACGCTCGCTGGCTTGATGTCGGGTCGATTTGTGATCCCCTTGGTGCGCTCGCGGGCTGACTGCCACGCCAGCACGAAGTCGCCATCGTCTTGGAGCATCGTTGCAAGCTGCTGTGGAGAATACTGAGGCCAAGATTTGCACGTCCACCCGCAATCGTTGCAGAGGTCGCCGTCAGGCTCTGCCACGGCGCGACCACTCGCGTCCACGGTCTCGAGGATTGAGAACCAAGTAACGTTCGGCTCGTTGCTTGATACATTGCAAATCATGCAGATCACAACAACTTTGCCTTTGGGCCGCTTCACTGCCCCCCCCTCACGGCCACCACGCGCCGCCTGCGCAGCGCTCTTCCTTATCTCGCCAGTCCGAGACTCGCCATCATCATCATCATCCGCCATCGTGCCCTTCAGCGCGGACTGGGCATGTCTTCAAGTCTCCTGGTCAACTCCGCGATCCACGACCCTTGCCGAGTCTTCAAGGGGCCGCAGAGCCCTGGCCCGAATAGGCCTCAGAAGAGGCCCGGAACCGTACTATCGAACGTATACTTTTTGCGCTCAAAGAAATTAGGCGCTGTCGATTCTGCAACATTCCAGCGCCATCCAAGGCGCCCAATGCTGCCCCAAAATGGCCAGAGAAGCGCCAAGTGCAATCCAAGACGGCCCGGGACAGCCCCGCGGGGCCCAACAAGAGAAAGACCAGGACCAACAATCCAAGCCTCCCGCCTCGAGAAATTTCCAAGACGATCCCGAGACGCCGAAGACCGAAGAGTTCCCAGCAGGTCCCGCAGGTCTCTCCAAAGAGCCCCCACAATGGCGCCAAACAGCCAAAGAGGCTCGAAGGGCCCCCAAAACTGCCTCTGAGAGGCCTCGAGAAACTCCTCCCAAAAGCCCACAAAAGGCCAGCCAGTCAAGCCCAGAAAACGCCTCACCCAAGCACAGTGGTATATACCGAAGGCCTTCATCTGTCCCTCATGCGTTTCCTTCTTCGGCTCCACTTTGCAATTCTGGCGCGCAACCGGGGCCGCGACCGCAACCTCGCTGGCGCTGTCATCATCATCGGACTGGTACCAATCACGCCCCTGGCCGCGCTTCTTCACCGCCGACGACGCGGGGGCCTCTTCAGACTTGATGCGGGCGCGCACCTGTGATGTCGATTCGCCCGAAGGCGTGGCGTTCTCACCCGCGCCCTCGCTCGTCGTTGGGACGCTGCCAAACAAACTCCATCGGCCAACGATTCCAAAATCACGCCCGGCCGTGGCGACCAAGGAACCCCTAGAAACCCAGGCGCAGCGAACTCTGACTTCCCAAGCCCTTCGCGAGTTTATCTTGGACCCCCGCGGATTTAACATCGGGCTTTTTGGATGGTCCAGGGGCCCGTCTTTAAGGATGTCGGCTCTAGAATGTCCCGGGGCCCGGGGTGGTGTGGGGGGGGAGGGGGCTTAGGGGATGTTTTCAGGGCTGAGCTTCAGGGTTGTTCTAGGGCCCAGTCTGTAGGGATGTGTTAAGGGCCAGGCTTGAGGAATGCTCGCGGGGCCGGGCTGCAAGAATGTTGTAGGGGGCGGGCTTCAAGTATGTGTTAGGGGCTGGGCTTCAAAGGTGTTTTAGGGATTAGGGGCCTGGCTGGGGCTGTTTAAGGGCTCGATTTTTAATGTGTTTAAATGTTTGAGAGGCTGGGGTTCCCAAGTATAATTTACGGGCCTGGCTTTAAGGATATATTCGGGGCCTGGGCTGTAGGGGTGTTTCAAGGGCCTGGCTCCACAAATGTTTTACGCTTTCTTAAAGGTGTTTTGGTGGGGGCCGCGGCTCACCTCCCCCCCGAGAAACGAATGAGGTCGTCGGCCCTTCCCCTGACCACGAGCGCTGGGAATTCGAGCGGCGAATACAACTGCATGCCCTATCTCTGGGGCCGCCCCGTGCGCTCTCAACGCCACCGCCATTGCTGCTATCATTTCCACGTTCAACCAACCTTGCCCGCGCCAGCTGAGCCGTCGGCCCCCCCGGCCTTGACAGGCGGACGGTGTGCCATGGCCTCGCTACGACCAAGCGGCGTCGCTGACTCGGTGGGCTGCCCACTTGCGCTGGATGGCTGTGGGCAACGAGCACGACGACGAATGCCACGAAAAAGATACGAATACCACGAATAGGGAATAGGGCGACTGCAACGACCGCAGGTCTCCCCCGCCATCCTCCTCGCCCCGCTCATCGCCCCCCTCATCCCGTAGTCGTCGTCGCCCGCCACCTTGACGTCCCCATCTCCTTCCTCATCATCATCGCCTTCATCCTCTTCATCATCATCCGTCGTCATCCCCATCCTCCCCGTTCTCCTCCTCCCTTTCCTCCTCCTCCTGGAACCCCCACCCCTGGCTCTTGCTCCTCCTCCTCCTCCTTCCCCTCCTCCTCCTCCTCCCCCTCCTCCTCCTCCTCCTCCTCCTCCAAGTCCTCATCCGATTCCTCCTCCTCCTGGTCCTCCTCCTCCCCCCCCTCGTCCTCTTCCTCCTCCTCCTCATTGTCGCCCTCCTCCGCCATGCCCTCCTCGCCCCCCTCCCCCTCCTCCTCCTCCCTACCTCCTCCTCCTCCTCCCTCCTCCCTCCTCCTCCTCCTCCACCTCCTCCTCCTCTCCTCCTCCTCCTTCTCCTTCTCGTCCGTCTCCTCCTCCTCCTCCTCCTCCTCCTCCCCTCCTCCTCCTCCCCCCCCTCCTCCTCCCTCCTCCCCTCCTCCTCCTCCTCCCTCCTCCTACCTCCTCCTAATTCCTCCTCCTGCCTCCTCCTCCTCCCTCCTCCTCCTCTCCCTCCTCCCCCTCCTCCTCCTCCTCCTCCTCCTCCTCCTCCTCCTCCTCCTCCTCCTCCTCTCTCACTCCTCCTCCTCCTCCTCCTCCTCCTCCTCCTGATCCTCCTCCTCCTCCTCCTCCCTCTCTCCTCCTCCTCCCCTTTTCCACCTCCTCGTGGACCTCCTCCTCCTCCTCCTTTTCATCCTTTTCCTCCTCCTCTTTCTCCCCCCCCCTTCCCCTCCACCTCCTCGTCGTCCTCCCTCCTCTTCCTCCTCCCCTTTTTCCTCCTCCTTCTCGTCCCGGACTCCTCCTCCTCCTCCTCTCCTCCTCATCCTCCTTATCGCCCTCCTCATCCCCTCCCTCTTCCTTCCCCGCCCTCTTTGTCTCTCTTCCCCGATGGGCCTGGCCCCTATGCCGAGTCCGAAGTAGATGGGCTTAGATGGGGCGCTGGGCGATCGTAAAGTATCGACTGAGAATTCAGCCCCCAGCCTGCAGCTTCCGCTGAGGTTTCCGCAATCACGATCCCATGGAGTCAGTTGCGGGCGCGCCGCACCAGGGTCGCCAGGGGGGGAGCGGCGCACGTGAAAGTGAAAGTGAAAGACCTTCACTGAAAGTCGGGGCCTTAAAAGCACAAGGAGGGGCCCTCCAATACACGCAAAAACGGTGCGGTCCCAAAAAAGCCAGGGGCCAGGGCGCGCGGTGGCGGGCCAGCCGAAAGGCGTGACTCGTGACTTAGCCCCCCCCCAGACGCTCACCGCACGGCAACCGGGCGCCACGAAATGACCGCGCAAGCCAGAACGAGTAAGTGAGCTGTCACTGGACAAGAACAGACACTCGATCAAATTGACAACCAGAAGTCAGCACACCTACAACCTACATGTCCTGACAAGTGACTAGGGAACTCCAAGACCCACGCAGCTCGCAGAGATCGAATACGACCGCCGCGTGAAACCCATTGTTTTGGAAACCCCGCTCAAGAGGTACTCGTCGTGCTGGTGCCCGTGATCGTGCTCGTGCTCGTGTTCGCGTTCCCCCCTCCTCCTCCTCCCTCCTCCTCCTCCTCCGCCTCCTCCTCCTCCTCCTCCCCCTCCTCCTCCTAGTCCTCCTTCTCGATCCTCCCCGTTCTCCCCCTTCCTCCTGGTTTCCCTTCCTCCTGGGGCCCCTCCTCGTCCTCCTTTTTTTCTCTCCAACCTTCTCCTATTCATTGTATTCATCCTATGTGTTCCTCCTCTTTGGTCCTACTCCGCATCCTCATCCTCCTTCTTCTCCTCATCTTCCCCCCCCTGCTCCTCCTGGGGGCCCCTGCGCGCGCTCAGCCATTAGGGGCGGCGCGCTTCGACGGAGGAACTCGCAAAACAACCTGGGCAACCGAGGAGCGCACCCCCATTGAGACCGCGGCCCGAGGAAGCACCGCGATAGCGAGCGTTCAAACTGCACCAACTACGGCACCCCTGGGCCCCGGATGCTGACAACCTTGTCGACGTAGTCGGCCCATGGGGCGGTTGGAAAACTGCAGATCAGTTTTATGTTTTTTTTTCTAGTAAGGGTCGAAACCTTTCCGTCGTGATCATGTGTCTACAATGCGAGCATGCACGCAAGTCACTTTACAGTCACTCTGCGCGTCCAGCACCGCCGGGCGGATCCGACGATGGATCGGCCCAACCCGAGGCACGCGCACGCATGTAAACCCCTAAAACATGCTGGTGACTATCCCCCCGTCTCGCCATGAAGGCGAAAACTACTGAGACTGAAACGGAGCCTCCCTCAAGGCCCTGAGCCTGAGCGCCACCACTCGCCATGCGGATTGCAATACATCACAAAACTTACAATCGAGCAATAAGCAGCGCAGAACGTCTCGCCTGCTAAGTCACGAAGCTTGGACTCACTGAAAAACGACCTGCTTGCCCTGTCTGATGGATGCCCGGCCAACTGGAGATTCCCCTTGCCACTGATCGTGGCGTCGGCCTCAAAGGAGTAGTACATGGTGCCCGTGGTCATGACAGGGGGCATGCCACGTGCACGTTTTGCCGCCGTGATGGGCTGGCGTTTGATATCCTGGTTCAAACCCACCCACAAGCCTTTTTTCAATTGTTTTGTCTGGATAGTGGTCGGAGACTGCGCCACGGCCACCGCCCACGTCGTCTCCACGAGATCAAGGATGCGGGGGGTCCGCGGCACGCCAGACATCACCACGTTGCTGCGAGCAGACCACGGCGTGGCACTCCTGGGCACGCCGTTATCCGAACGGATCTTGCTGGAATGCACCTGCCACTTGGAGAAATGACGCGGGGCGCGAGCAAGGTCTTCGACGCGAGCTTGCTCCTGGGAGACGCCAGCAAAAACACCGCCGGCTGAGGCGGATGGGTCGAATGTCGAATACGAATAGGGGATGAGGACGCAAGGTCATAAAACACTAAAATCAGACCAGCTCTTTGAGGAGGAGGAGTAACAAAAAGAAACACGAACGCATGTTTGTTTGCCTGTTTTGTTTCATCTAGGTCTAGGTGGGCGCAGCGCACGCAAACCAGCAAGTGTGCATATGCTTTCGCTTATATCACCTCATCGAGGCTGTGCGATGGCATCCTGGTGTAAAAAATCATTCCCTGATCTGACGAAGCGAATCTATGAATTCCAAAACTTTCCCAAATAAGCAACGCGCGGCCCGCGCGGCGGTGAATGCGCGGCGCGCGCACGCAACAATGCATTTCTTTCTCCACAACGATGTCTTAAAACTGATACAACATATTTGGGGGGGGACGGTTGAAAACAAGGTGTTCCCCGGTGCTGTAGTGCGCTTATAGAAAACAGAAGGGGGGGGGGGGGGGGGGAGGGGGGCAAACTGGGTCGCGGGAGGCGCCCCCGCGACCGCCCTGGCCCGGGCCCCGGCGCCCTGCGCGCCGCGGCAGATTCGCGCGCACCCCCTTTTGGCGCCAGGCCACGCCCTGCGACCCCAGCGTGGGTAGAGACTGCGCTCAAGGACCACCCCCTGCGCACCGCGCACCCTGTCTGGGTTGCGAAGCGGCGTTGAATGCGCAAATGCGGCATGCCACAGGTAGATGTGACACAGCGGGGGCGGCGCTTAACTCCAAAACCCAATGGCGGAAAACCCAATGTAAAAATTCATTCGCCAACTCGCGGCGTGAGTCTCCCGTGGTGTATGTGTTTGCTGCCGTTGACGGCAGTTGCGGATAAGAGTGAGGGGGCGGCGCAGCCTCCAGGCGGGTCGCGCGGCGGGTCTCCGTGGGTTGGGGGCGGGGCGACGACGACGACGTCGGCCCAGACACCCTGGGCGGCCCAGACGGCCCAGACGGCCCAAACGGCCGAGACGGCCCCGACGGCCCCGACGGCCCAGACGGCCCAGACGGCCCAGACGGCCCAGACGGCCCAGACGGCCCAGACGGCCCAGAAGGCCCAGACGGCCCAGACGGCCCAGACGGCCCAGACGGCCCAGACGGCCCAGGCGGCCCAGGCGGCCCAGACGGCCCAGACGGCCCAGACGGCCCAGACGGCCCAGACGGCCCAGACGGCCCAGACGGCCCAGACGACCCAGACGGCCCAGACGGCCCAGACGGCCCAGACGACGGCCCAGACGGCCCAGGCGGCCTAGACGGCCCAGATGGCGGCCAGACGGTGGAGACGGCGGAGACAGCGGAAGCCGCCCAGACGGCGGAAGACGGCAGAGACGGCGGAGACGGCGGAGACGGCCCAGACGGCCCAGACGGCCTAGACAACCCAGACGGCCCAGACGGCCCAGACGGCCCAGACGGCCCAGACGGCCCAGACGGCCCAGACGGCCCAGACGGCCCAGACGGCCCAGACGGCCCAGACGGCCCAGACGGCCCAGACGGCCCAGACGGCCCAGACGGCCCATACGGCCCAGACGGCCCAGACGGCCCAGACGGCCAACGCCCAGACGGCCAGACGGCCCCAGACGGCACCAGACCAAAACCCCAGACGCCCCGACGGCCCCATGACGCCCCTAGGCGGCCCAGCGGCCCAGACCGGCCCAGACGGCCCAGACGGCCCAGACGGCGGAAGACGGCGGAAGACGGCGGAGACGGCGGAGACGGCGGAAGCGGCCTCTGGGCAGTCTGGGCCGCCTGGGCCGCTTCCGCCGTCCCCGCCGTCTTCCGCCGTCTGGGCGGTCTGGCCGTCTGGGCCGTCTGGGCCGCTTCCGCAGTCTCCGCCGTCTCCGCAGTCTGGCCGCCGTCTGGCCGCCATCTGGGCTGTCTGGGCCGTCTCTGCATTTCCTTTCCTGTTCCTCTTCTCCTCCTCCTTCTGTCTCTTCTCCTTGTGCATTGATAGGATTTAACCCAACGTGCGAATTTGAACTCCAAAACCCAACGGCGAAAACACAGTGTAACAACTTGAGGTCGGCACTGACACCAGTCGGCACTGACCAGTAAAATCAAAGCTATCTTGGCCCCCTCTCCAGGGCCATGAGGGCACGCAACAAAAAAAAAACAAAGACAAAATTATACAAAAAACAAAAAACACCATAGCAACAACACCAATCACACACACCCCACCCTCCCTCCACCCCCCCCTACCCCGCCACGCCCCACTTACCCTACCCCCCCTCCCACACCGTCGGGGGTGTCAAGACAGCCGTCCCCCGAGCGAGGTCCAGGGAGCATGTTGTGGCATTCCGTTCCCCGTTGGGGGCGTAGCTGTAGTGCCTGGTGCCCTGTTGGCTGCTTGCTGTGCTCTTCGGTTTTCTGGTGGGGCATCGCAGTGACCTCTAGTCATACTTGTGGCGTTTGGTGTCAGCTTGGGTTCCATCGGTTCTTTGTCAGCGGCTATGCAGCAACCTTTAGATGTCTGCACGCTCTAACACAAAAAGGAGACAGGAGGAGGAGGAGAAGGAGGAGGCGGAGAAGGAGGAGGGGAACGAGGAGAAGCAGCTGTTGGAGGGGGTGGTGGAGGAGGCTGGGAATGGGCAGCCTCTGCATGGCAGGTGCTTTTCTGCTGTCTCCGACAGAAAGTTAGATTTGGATAAACCCCAATCACAGGTTAGAACGAAGCACGCACGGAGAGCGCGATGTCTCAGGCCCTCTTGGGTGGGAAGGGCCTCAAGAGCTCACGAGTGCCCCAGGGCTTTCCGAAGGTTCCCCGAACTCCTGGGGAACCCTCACGAGGCACCCAGGAACCCCTCAGAAGGCCTCCAAGAATGCCCCCAATACCCCGCGGACGCATTATCAAACCGGCGGCTTGATGTAGCCTTTTTGGGCCCTCCCGGTGCCCTCCCCTTTTGGGGACTTGCCCAGAGCCTTCCCGAAGTCCCGAGGAGGCTTTCGGAGGCACCCAAGAGGCTCTCACTGGGAGCCCCTACCCGCAACTTGCGCCGAATCCGTGAATCTCCGCTAACATGTTGTATATGCAAGCGCTGGGGAAACATGATTCCTGACCCAAGATTGCTTTATCCATTGCCCCAGCCGTGATTGTGCGTCGTTCTCCCCCCCTCCTGCTCCGACTCCTGCTCCTGCTTGCCCTCCACACATCCGTAACCATTTTGGCTCAAAGTTCGGGCCGCGGCAGTTTTCGCGCGTTGCGATGGCCGACTTCCTCGGCTTAGCCCTGGCCCAGGCGCCCGACGCTGGCGACGTCGGCGTCCCAGTCGGCGCCCCCGATGCCGACGCCCCCGACGGGGCCGCCGCCGCCGGCCCTGCGCCAGCGACCGCATCGGCAGCGGAGCTTGGCCGAGCTAAACGGCAGATCAAGGCCCTGAAAGCAGTTGCATCGAGAGAGAGGAAGCGATCCAAGGCCAATGCTGCGAGCGCCCTGTGCGTCATGCGGAAGATGAAGCCAAAACACAGAAGGCACGCTTTGACCATCAGGAAGACATCGGCAGGGTTGGTGGCGCGCGTCGCGGGTAAGAGGACGACGCACGGGACGAGGCACGACGGTGACATGTACGCGCAGGCGCTAGGGGTGGGCGCGCGCGTTGATTCCATAGCGCACGTTTCCCATGCCCGTTTCGCGGCAGGTATGAAATTTGAACGTTTTGAGGCGGCCCCCCCCAAGGAGGAAGAGAGGTGGGGGGGAGGGGGGAAGTCAGAGGAAGCGGCGGCGGGGGGGTGAATACGCTGGCGATGGGAAGCGTCATTGGAATCATGCTGTGGGTCCAAGACGTCGGTGAAGGAACCGCTCTGATCAGGATTGGCGGAAAGCCCGCGTCAGAGCATGCGGGTAAGCGGGGTTCCTTCACCGATTTATTGTTCCCCAGTGCGCGGGCGCTCCAGCTTTCTGTGCGCGGGCAGCTTTCGCCACGCAGCCGAATGCGACCCACGCCTCGATGCGTCTGGGGGTTGATGTTAAAACAGTTCGACGCGTGCGTGCTGTCGTGGCGGCCTTCTTGCTCCAGTCGCAGCTGACCTTGCTTGCGAGTTTGGTTGCCCTTACAACCGCGCACCCGCCCTTGCTTGTGACTTCGAGAGAGGCGTGGGATGAGACTGGCCAAGTGTTTTCATTTCGGATGGACCCGACTCTGACCAGTTCACAGAGCAGGAGCCGCTGGGAGGTAATGATTTACATGTGCTCGGTATGCATAGGATGGCCGAGAGGTCATCGCTTGGGCGTTGCATTTTACGAGTTTCTGTTACCGCCGGTTGTTATTCCCACCACAAGCGCTGCCAGCATGTACTTCGCACTTAGATGCCACGACCAATTCATGAAATTTCAGGCTCTGCTCCATTTACTTCGCGGCAAGGCGGTTCATCGTTGCATGTTGCTCGAAACGGATGCGGCGTACTCCAATGAAAAACTCATCGCCGTCTTCATGAATCACATGCCAAAAGGGACGTTGCACTACTTACTTTGGAAAGCATGCCACAATCACAAAAACAATCACGTCGAGGTGTTCGTCGCGTCGTTGGTGGGTAGTCTGTTGATGGGGATGATATACGCATTCTGCGCATTTTTGCAAAGTAGCGGTCGGCACTGGCGCCTCTCATGTGCAGTAGATGGTTTCACCGAGGATGTCATCCAGCATCGTTGTTTGCCAGGCGCGCCGACTTCTCGGAGCAGGAGGCTCAGGGATGCGATCGTTTCGTATTCCCAGAAAAATTGGGCTCGCATTCAGTCCCGTCGAACTGCGAGGAGAGCGAGGTGGAAGCATGGCTTGCCCTCGAACAGCCGCCTGCCAGCGAACGCCGCCGCCGACAAGTTTGCGCGTCAGCTGCGTGAGTTTCTGACGGATACCTACAACGACTTGGGTCCTTCAGAGTGCGTGCACAGATATAGTGGTCTCGAGCCTGCGCCGTCTTTCAAAGAGAAGTTGAAATCGGGGCTCAAATCGTTGGTTTTGGTACGGATTCCCAGCC